AATTAATTTTGTCGTTTTCATTTTCAAATATGACCCTTCAATTTTTTTTCAGACCAAATTATTTTAACAAATACAAATATTTTGTTAATTTAAATATATAGATAAATTTATAGGATAATATTTTGTGTGTTGTTTAGCATAAATACATTGACTGACAATAGGAATACCAAGAACTAAATGTAAATACCTCTTTTTAGTCATGATTAAAAGTCATAAAAGACAAGTAAACTATCATTTCATTAAAAAGTATTCAGTTTAACTAGATGGTTTTAATGTTGCGTAAATCAAGTAACGTTCTTCCGTTCTAAATGGACGAAAGAAGAAAGCCATGGTAGGGGACCTCATGCATTACATCCAAGGCTGGCGCGAATGGTGTGTGATACCCTCCTCCTACCCCCTATCAATGAATTTTATTTAATTATGTCTAAAAATTTAGCTCTTTTAGACCTGCAAATTAGCATATGACAAATGTGAAAAGTGAGGACCTTATTTTTTTTGAAAGACAAAAAAATATTTATGGCATTTTTGCTACAGTCAATAAAAATTATCGATCCGCTTTTTTACGTAAATTAATCGCTAAACTGTTTATAATAAAATATAGATAACTTTTATACGGAATTTATGTTGTTTATTTTCTATTATTGCTAAAGTTCGACATGCTTATACACGTACATACATTATAAACAAACAATGATATCACAAATTACCTATTCAGCAATGATCAAAACATTTTATCAAAAAAGTTACTTACTAATTAACAATAATTTAAACATGTAAACATTTTTTATTTCTAAGTGTCGCAGAGACTTTGTTTAATGAGTTTTCACAAACAGAAATGGCAGGTTATAACCTGTATTGACAAGATCGAGGATCTCGCGGAGGTGGTGCGGCTTTATACATCAAGAATAGTATTTGTGCTCGTCAATTCAAAATTAGTCAACTAAACTCAAAAAAATTAAACAAGTTTGGCAATTTATTGCTTTTAGCAAGGAGAATATTTTTCTTGGAACAATGTACCGACCCTATGATCTAAACAACACGGTGCTCCTTGAGACAATAGCGTCACTAGCTAAATTGAAGGCGGTATTAAACATTAATGATGCATTAAAGATGCACAGCGATGCTGGTTTATGGTGATTTTAATTTCTCACACACAAATTACGAACAAATAGACGTAGGTGGAGGAGTAGCCACTGTAGGTCATATTTCCGAAAACTGGCCTAGCGATACGGCTTTTCAGGCATCCCTTGCGAATAATTACCTATCACAATTTATAACTTTCTCGATATATAGACACTCTCTGCTAAGCGCACCAAAAAGTCTCACAACCTAAGTCAGAAGAGAGAATACGCTTGCAAGCTTTATATACCAATTACAAACACTCTTTCTGTCGAAGTTGTCAACTATTGGTAACGCAGACAATTATATAGGCAGTAAATAAAAAAAGGATTATTTGGGCAAAGTACCAAGCTGCTGGACTCTTTACGCAGTTTATTGTACATGATGAAGTACAGAAAAGGCTTGACAATTTTGACGGGAACAAGACAATGGGCATCAACAGCGTTCATCCAAGGCTTCTCAAAATGTGTGCAGCAGCGTTTTCTGTACCACTTATCCTTATTTTCTAGACTTCACTTACTAAAGGTGAGGTGTCAGACGACTGGAAGCGCTGAAAAAAACTCCATTATTCCAGAAGGGCTTCAAACTAAAGGCATCTAATTACAGACCAGTATCACTCACTAGTATCTCTTGTAAAGTTGTGGAGCGTTTCGTTTGAGACCAGATTTAAATCACTGAATTATAAACGGTCTTATATCAAAAATTATACCCGGAAGCACTTGATCTTTTGACAGAAGCTATGTACCAGGGATACACTACAGACGTAATCTTCACGGATCTGGCAAAAGCCTTCAACAGAGTTTCATACAATAGACTTCTGCACAAAATTCAAAACTACGGAATCAAAGAGGAGCTTCACGCATGGATTCAAGCATGGCTGTCAGGAAGGCAGCAGAGAGTCGTAATTAGAGATCGTACATTAGATTGGAAAAACGTTATTAGCGGTGTACCGCAAGGTTCAAACTTGGGTCTACTACTGTTTGTTCTGTACATAAATAATCTTCCAGACAAATTGGTACATCAGATCAAACTCTACGCTGGTAACTGCAAAATTATTGGCGTCATAAAATTTGACCAATACGCGGAGAGTCTGCCAGCAGATTTAGATAAAGCCATTGAATGGTCACATTGCTGGCTTATGACATTTAATACTCAAAAGTGTAAAGTCATGCATACTGTCATCAAAACAAGACCTTTTCATGCTAGGACCAGACGGCCTGCCACTTGCAATCGAAGTTACTCATTTAGAGAGAGATCTTAGAGTTCTTACCTCAGATTATCTTAAACTTAATGCTCAAGTTAGTAATTGACACGACTTTGCAAATAGTAATTGACACGACTTTGGTGAACATACTCAAAAATCGGCTAGATGAACATTTAACTCAGTTATAAGAAAATTTTTAAAGATAACTGGAAATAAACTCTCTTCACATATGTTTCCAGTATTCTATTATGTTCTTAAAGTATGGTATTTGTGTTGCAGATGTGCATGAGTATCTTAAGACTATTAGTATAGAGGCGCATGATGCAGCACATCGTCATTGATAATTAAAAAAAAAAAAAAAAGATTTATTATTTTTCAAAAGTCTATAAATTTATTACGGATTAATCTAAATATTTTAAATTATTGATCACTAAACTAAACTAAACTAAACTAAATTCAACTAAACATTTAATTTATGTAATATACAAATGTATATAACAATAAATTAAATCTTTGTTTTACTTATATCATTTATGTCATTTTTAATAAACTATGGATTTACCAAAAAAATTTAACTTAACTGATTCTAAACTTTTGCAAGAGACTAAAAGTAAGACGAATTACTCTTGATCTGGCCTTTAAATTGACTAAAATTATCTCGTACGCCGTAATTAAGAGCAACACGTGCACGTGATTTCACTGAACTTGATTGATGGACGTGATTTCACTGAACTTAATAATAAACTAATATAGGTTTGACTACATTTTCTGCTGTCACAAGCAAAAAACTCAGTTTCAGTAATTTACCAGCTCAATAGTATTTTTTTGTTGCAGAGGTATGAGTTTATTTTAGAGGAAAGTCTCCTTAAAGATTGCATGGTAATATAAGTGATGTAACTAGAGCCAGCGCGAGTTGCTGTAAAGTGTGGGAGGGGGGAGCATTACAATTTTTGCTGAATAAAAAAAAAATAAAAATAGGTCTTCGTGTTTTTAAATTTGCCCCATCCCCCTCTTCTCGATGACATAGGATGCAACTTAAGTTAAATGCATGGTATCAAAATAATCTGTTTACTTTCTTTAGTCATTTTTAGTTACTTTCTTCGCATCTAATAAAAGTATTTTTATTTTTAAATTAAGAATTGAGTTAATAACATCTTGTTAAATGTCTACACAGTTCAAAGACGCCTTGCAAAGAACCTTAAAGTCAATCGTATTCTGCTGATTATAACCAAGCCTTTCTAAACAAGAAACTGTAACTAATGTTCTTGCCCCGTTATAGGCAGTATACTTAATTAAACGACATTCAAAATTGTTGAATAAAATCATGCAATTCATATTCATGCAACGTCACTGAAAATGAATTGGCATACAAACTGATTCATGTAAAACAAATTCATACTACAAACTGTAGTAAAAATTTTTTTGTTTCATTTAACTTATTTCACAAAACTTCTGAAATGAAATATGAAGAACACTTCAGAAATGTATTGATCGCACTGCATATTGAGCGCTTATTCACTTAATTGAAGCTCATCAATAATTTTTAGCGCTCAACTAAGGAATAAGAATAAAAAGTGATTTTGTCATTTTGAGTATAGAGTGTCTGTTAGCACAAAATCTTGACTTTCATGATGTGAGTTTGCAAAACAAAAGACAAGAAAAATAGTATTGTAAAAAACGAAAGCTGGACCACTTAATTATACTTATATACTAGTAATTAAAAAGTTTGAGCTTCTTTTATATATATATACATATATATATATATATATATATATATATATATATATATATATATATATATATATATATATATATATATATATATATATATATATATATATATATATATATATATATATATATATATATATATGTATATATATATATATATATATATATATATATATATATATATATATATATATATATATATATATATATATATATATATATATATATATATATATATATATATATGTATATATATATATATATATACTCACACACACACACACATCAACTCATAAATATTTTTACTAATTTTCAATTATTTTATCTGTCAACACATTAAAAAGTGGAAGAAAAAAACTGTTGAAAAAAAGAGCGCAAGAGGAAACGTGAAACTTGCTCTATTTTTAAAGAACTTTCAAATATGAATTGTTTAAGAAAGTTTTTTATTCAAATATTTTAAACTTAAGATTTAATCATACCAAATACGTTTTTGATCGATATGCTTTTGAATCTTTAATAACAGGGTTGCTTAAATGGTAAAACAGATTTCGCTTTAAATATTAAAGCTATGCATTATTATTAATTTACTTGACATACTGAAAATTTTAGATTGATATGATATACCACTATTTTCATACTACAAGATGTACTTAAGATTAATTTTTAATATACAAAATTGGTTCAATACAAACCAGACATCACAGTTAAAAGATATATAGCATTATAAAATTAAACAAAAGCGTTCTTTTATAGAATTTTTTTATCTGGATTTACAAGATCTTTTGGACCGATAAAAGCATCCTTATAATAAAGATAAGAAAAAAAATTAAGAACACGCTAATCAGCATAAAATTATACAATTTTCATAATATACTTGCGAATTTCCTTATGTTTAGGAGCAAAATTAGGACAATAAATAGAACCATTAGTTCTTTGTATAGCTAAAAATTTAGTTGTATCTTTAGTTCTATTGGCAGTGTAGTTCTATCAGGATCTTATACTATAATATAAAGTGTGAAAATAATCCACCCGATATAGTTTAAAAAACCCAGGGGGCGCCACAAACGGATTTTTTTACAAACAATTATTTTTAAATTTTAAATTGATTCTTTGAAACTCAGATAAGAGTTTTGGCTACGTAAACTCAACATCTGCTTTATTAAAAGCAAGAAAATGGAAATATTATTCATCAATTAAATATTAATATCTACAAAAGTATAAGCAGTCTTTAGTGATTATTTTCAATTTATATTGAAGACTTGAAGTATGGCAAATTTGATGATGATGAGACAAGAAATAGATTATTTAAGAAAATCGCTTCATACAGCATTTAAGGAAAAAGAAGAACTGTGCCAATTACTATGCAATAAACAAGTATTTAATTTGCTAATTTAAAAATATTAAAAAATATTTATCAAACCAAAGTTTTGAAACAGTTTTGAAATTTTGTTTTTTATAGGAAGATGTTTACGAACGAGAAAAATTTATAGCCGAGCAATTGTCAAATATAATTCGCGTAATCGAAAAGAACATAGAACAAACCGTAATGGAAACAAACTGCTTTGTCTTTCGAAAAAAAAGACTCAAGAAAAAATTAAGTTTACTATGCCAACTTAGAAACCAATTAAAAACTATATATGCAGACGGTTTAACCTTATCTAACAGTAAAAATCAACAAGAAATCGTTAAAAGTAATACAATATCAAATCATATGATAGCAATGGCAACAAACTCTTCTAAGTCCTATTATTGCTAAGGAAAAAAAGGAGAATATGATGGCTTAAGTAGCATGGCATCAACTACATCACTAAAATACAAGGCGACATTTAAAAAAAAGTAACAATCAAATAATGCAATTAAAATAAAACAAAAGATTTACATCGGAAAAAATTCGTAAGATAAAAATTTGCTGTGCATGCGAAAAAACTTGAATTTACTCGGATCGTTTGTTTTTCTTTTTTTCTTCCTATGAATAATACACATTCGTTGTTAGTATATTATTAAATATTGTTAGTATATTATAAAAATTGTTAGTGTATATTCGTTGTAGTATATTGTAAAAAAAATGCAGTTAAGATGGTAATGCGGTTCCAAAAAAATAATAAATGCCTTATTATTTCTAAATGACCATTTACTTATACCCTTAATATATATTATACATACCTTATTTCCCAAGATGATCAACAGTCTTCGGAAAATGTTTACAAAATCCAAAAATAAATCAACGGAATGCCTAAAAAAATAACAAAAAGATTGATCCAAGCAATATTTATCTTTTTCAAAATTATTTTTAATAAACATTAATTTATCGATCGATAATATATTGTGTATGTGTCTATACATACACACATCCATAATATACTTACATTAATTTTATTTATATAGAGAGAAAAGTATACAAGCAGTGTTAAAAAGAGAAAAAGCAAAATAAATAGTTAAAGTATGAAACAAACTTACAGAGATAGCTTTGCTGAGATTTATTTGTCATTTCACAATAGAAGTATACATAGTAAGCGGTTTTTTTCTAAAGCCGGTAGGGGAGACCAGGGAGATTTCGGACAGCTTTATATACATTATTATGGACATCAAATAAGTAATTATGTATTTCAATCATGATGGTTTGTTTTTTTATTTTTAAGTTATTACAACTGGAACTCATCCAAATAGCACTTAAAGTATGTTCTTAAAACAAGACCTCTTGTCCTTTATAGAAACTGGCAATGCAAACACTACATCTGTGTAGGTGATAAATGAAAATTTTTCATTAGTTCTTATAAATTTATAAAGGTTATATGTACTTTTATTGGTTAAAATTTTGTGGTTTTATTATCTGACGATGTTTTTAGAAGAATTTCTTTTTCAAAGGTTTTTCCCTGTAAAATCTTCATCTTGATTGTCTTTTTTGTAACCTTCTTTACCATTCTTTCTATTTTGGCAGTTGCAAGTACATCTTTTTCTGGGGTATCTGTATATGGCAATATAAAAATCAGTAATTGTATCAGTTGTTATGTAGCAATCATTACAGTAGCATCTGAAAAGATTTTGGTCTCCCCAATGCGATTTATTGAAAAAATTAAAGGAATTATTACAAACTCATTTATAAATTATGATATATACGCACATATATCGGTATATTAGGCCATATATATATGCACATTTACTGTTATAGATAACAGTATGTGCGTTTATTATACTGTTCTTTTTGTTTCTGTATCACCCACAAAAAAAAGTGTAATCATGAACAAACTGATATTTGATATATTTATGCAAACAGAAAGTTGCAAAAAGTAACCACATTTTATTTAGATTACAATAATTAAAAAACTCAATTTAACGTATGTGATAAATGTAGGAATGATGTACAACTAAAAAAACTATATGTCAGGATAGCAATAGACTGGACTAAAAACACTGATACTGCCTTAACCAGAAGCTCTACTTTTTGTCAGTGTATTATTTCCAAATTAATAAGGTATTAAGTTTATTAAGCCGTGTATGTTCCATGAAAAAGTGTGTCAATTTTGTATTTCAAAGATCAGAATACAAATGAGACAAAAACGTGGAAGCAATGTATTAGCAGTAAAAGTATTTATATATTATATAAAAAAAGGATCAAATAAGGTTAAGAATTGCTTCTCAAATTATCACAGAAAAAGTATACAAACTTCAAAAAGAACTAAACTTACTACAGGTGCAAAACAAGTATTAGCAAGGCCCTTTTAAAATAAGTCAAGGCAGATCACTTTGATTGAAAACACATAGATTTTATGATTGATTTGATAGAAAATAACTTACTCCTTTACAATTAGAATTTAAAGATCTGATTGACCCTTTACAAGCTGTACAAACTGTATAACTTTAGTAAAGAATTTTAATTCGCTGATAGACTAGATTTAGACATTGGAACGAATCTAATAATGTCTTGGGTCAAATCTCAAAACTAAAAAAGGAACTATGCTCTGATAACTGTTTTTGTGGTTTAAACTATTTTTAAAAAAGTATATATATGCATATACATATATACAAATATATATATATATATATATATATATATATATATATATATATATATATATATATATAATATATATATAAATATATATATATATATATATATATATATATATATATATATTTATGTATGTATGTATGTATGTATGTATGCATGCATGCATGTATATATGTATGTATGTATGTATGTATGTATATATATATATATATATATATATATATATACATATACATATACATATATATATGTATATATGTATATATATATATATATACATATACATATATATATATACTTATACATATACATATATATGTATAAGTATATATATATATACTTATACATATACATATATATATATATATATATATATATATATATATATATATATATATATATATATATATATATATATATATATATATGTATGTATATATATAAAACTATTTACCAGATAAAGTCAGTGTCTCCCATTCTTCGTTTTTCAACAATGAGTTGAGTGTCATACAAAATGAAAGCACAGAACAAAAGCAAGCCACCATACAGATGAAACTGAAAGTTATATTGACTATACAATAATTTAATAACACATAATAAAACATAGAACAAAAGTAAGCCACTGTGCAGATGAAACTGAAAGTTATATTGATTATGCAGTCTTCTCCATTTAGCCAGCGCTTTCGCACTCATGTTATTTTGCACTCGCCCACACGCCCTGCAAAAACTTTCTCAAATGCATAAAAAAGCGCTAGCCATAAAAATCAAAGCATTTTATTTTAAATTGCAAAAAAAAACTTGTTTGTTCATTTGTTCAACTTTTATATATATAAAAAAAAAGCTTTTTTTAACCTGTTTTTTTAAAATTATTTTATATAGTATATATTCAAAGTGTTCTTTTTCTTATTTTAATTTAAATTTAAATTGCAGAAAACAATTTTTTTAAATCTCACAGGCTAATTTAAAAATTAAAAATTTTCAGGCCCTGGCATTAAATTTCAAACAGAGAAGACTATTATACGATGATTTAATAACACATAATAAAATATATGACCATTTTCAAAAGAACTAAAACAAATATACTTGATAAATCATTTCTGATTTAAAGAAAATGTTTATAAAAGACAACAGACACATCAATGACAATGCAGACAGTAGAGTACCTAAAAATAAGACAAAAATTAGTTTATTTTTACTTATAAAAAATACATGCAAAAGCTTTAAAAAAAATTAAACAAACCTCCCAAATAAAGATAGCTTCGCTGCTCTGCCCATAATGCACTCAGTGAAAAACACAAAAAAATCAAAGATGTTGAAAAAAGAGCAGTCGCCACAATTCTAAACCATGCAGATAAATTTAATAAAGATGAAATTAATTTTATTAATAAAAACAAGCTTCTGCTTTTAGAATGTTAAAAATATATAATTTATATCCTAAATAATTTTTTTTTTAGAATGTTAAAAATATAAATTTTATTAACAATGAACTAAATGGTTTAACTGCTACCAATACAATACAAAAAAACTGCATAAACTAGATTTAATATAAAACACTTGCATAAATTAGACTTACGTCGGATTGATTTTGATAACATGTCCAATCAACGGACCAAGAGATAATCCTTTTTTATTGTAAAAAAAATAAATAAATAGATTTCTTTTTTTAGTTATTTAAAAAAAAAAAAAGGAATTTCATAATATAAAAACTAATTTCATTAATAAATTTTCATTATTTCTTGATTTTTCTAAGAGTTAAAAAATAAGAAGTTTTTCTCCTTAATTATTATTTTTCAACTCTTTTAAAATTTTAACTTTAAATCAAAATTTTTTAACTCTTTTAAAATTTTTATTTTTTAACTGAAATGGGTTATTGACAACACAGTGGTAATAAATTAATAAGGGATTTAATAAGCCTTCAACCAAAACTGCTTGGTTTGATGAATTGACAAATAACTTTATGTTTGGCTACCAAATTGGCTGTTATAAGCAAACTTCAAAAATGATGTTATAGAAAATAATTTGATTTAAGTCATTACCCTTTGTGACAAAAGTAATGTTTGGTGGTTACTAAAAAACAGTTTTGCAAAATACAAAAGACACAAAAAAAAACTCAGATTTTTGTGATATATAAGTTTTTTGCAAGAATTTTTTAAACTTCTTGGAACAAAAGTAATATCCAAAATACTGTTATATCAGCTCTTTATTTTGGCTTTACATTTAGAACAATTTTATATTGAAATTCTAAGATAATTTGTTTATGTCTAAATTGTTGATTATTTTTGAAATCTTGAAGATTTCCAGGTGTTGGAGCATTTTTATCTATTTTTCTAGCAGAATGCAATTCTGAAAGTTTAAACTTTATTTTGATAGTTTTAACCATAGATTAGTATTTTTTTAGAATTTCACAGATTTCTGATTTTTTTTTTTTTTTTTTTTTTTTTTTTTATGAAACTCATGATATTTGTGACTTGGAAATAAAAAAAATTCAAAAACCACCAATATTTGAATTTGTTTTCCATCATAAATGATGTATATTTATTCATCTTTCAAAAAATGTATAGCTTTATGGTGTAAATATGTCTTTTATCACTACGTATTTTATATATATATATATATATATATATATATATATATATATATATATATATATATATATATATATATATATATATATATATATATATATATATATATATATATATATATATATATATATATATACACACACACATTTATAATTGTTATTTAATTATATAAATTATAACTATATAAATTATAAGTATAGATAAAATAAGAATTTAAAAAACTTTGTAAACATAACAGTAAAGACTACACACCTACACAAAACGAAAATCCCATCAAGTAGCCTAAAAATGAAAACAGAATAATGAAAAAATATAGAATTAAAAAAATCAAAAATGGTTTTTATTCAAACTTTAAATGAATAAATAAAATATTATATTATCTACATTTAATAACTCATACCAAGTCTTTGTAACTGGTTTTTTGGTTTATTTTCAGTCCATGCTACTGCTAGCAAAAAACCAATCGATCCAAACAGTGACACTAGACCACTGACACTCTATATTTTCAACAAAAAATAAATAACTAAAAAAATTATGTGATTAGGAGAGAAATAATGGTTATGATTATCTTATATCGCTTGGAGATACTTCACATATAAATTAAGAATGGTAAAAAATTTAATGTGTGTCTGTGGAAATATATATATATATATATATATATATATATATATATATATATATATATATATATATATATATATATATATATATATATATATATATATATATATATATATATATATATATATATATATATATATACACACACTTTTGAAGTGTTTGTATTTTTTATTTCAAATACTTTTTAAGTCAAGTATTTTGTACTCAAAATACAACTTTGGACGTATTTTGTATTTTTAGTATTTTTCAAAATACAAAAAACTTGATAATTTTTTGTTTAAAATTCTTTTAGCTGATAATATATAAAGCAGAGCTGAATTAAGGCTGAAAAAAAGTATATATATATATATATATATATATATATATATATATATATATATATATATATATATATATATATATATATATATATATATATATATATATATATATATATATATATATAAGCATATTGTTAATATAAAAATGAAATCAGAAGATACCAATACAAATTCAAATTCTAGTGAGATTCAGCCATCTGACCCTGAATTCATAAGTTTAAAATCAAGAACACCATTCAATCCTAGATGGGCTTTTTTTTCGAAATAACCAGATTTTTTGATGAAAAAAAGTAGTGGCTAGGTGTAAAAGCTGATTTAATTATTAACTACATTAATAGATTTATATATTAATATTATATTTAGAATATTAACTACATTAATAGATTTTTTAGGATGGTTTTAATATATGTACTTGAATATTACGTCATTCTATGTAAAATTAATTTAGTTTTGTTTATTTATTTGAAATCAATTTTCTTAAAATCTGACTGTAGAATTTCAATAATTTTTTATATTGAAAAAAAGTTGAAGCAGTGACCAGAAAATATCATAAATATAGAACATATTTATCTGAAGTTTAAAAAAAAATTATTGAAATCCTACAGTCAGATTTTAAGAAAATTGATTTCAAATAAATAAATCTAAAATATTGGCAAAGGTTTTATAAAATAACTATAATATTAATTTAAAGTATAAATTAATGTATTATTGTTTGCTGAATTAAAATAAAAAGTTATGACAAACTGTCACATAATGGCTATGTAGAGTTAATAATAATTTGCAATAGCAAATTGATTTTTAAATCAGCTCTTGCTTTAGTTTCTTTTTCCTTTTTCATTTTTATCGGCTTAATTTTTTAGTTAAATTAACGGGGCTGGATGATAAGACCATGTCTTCTGCCAGCTCCGGTCGAAACTTTAGTGTTATATTTTTATGTTGTAAAAGCAATGTAAAAGATTATTTTTTAACGACAAAAAAAAAATAAATGGATTCAATTAACACAGATACACGATCAAATAAATACAGATAATATTAACTGGTTACTAAGCAACTTAAATTTTTCATTGGCTGTTACATATATTTCGTACAACAAAAAAACGCTGTCAAAAAAAATTAATGTATTAATGTAGAGTGAATTTTGACCGCTAGTAACAACTGAAAAACAATCATTCAAAGATTTAGTCACCGGTCTTTCTCATTCATACACAGTTACGTCTTTTCTAACTCTTATAAACTAGATAGTAAATTTGAAATTATATTAAAAACAATTAGAGATCACATTCAGAAGTCAGTTTTTATATGTACTACAGCAGACATATGGAGCTGTTCAAAAAAGGAGCTGTTAAAAAAGGAGCTATATGGGAGTTAGGGCTCTCTGGATCAGAGAAGATTTATCTTGAATGTCTGTTGTGCAAGAACAAACAAGTAACAACAAATATGTACCAAAGCACATGAGATGTGCTTATCATGTTCTGAACCTTATCATGTTCTGAACCTGCTTGCCACAAGTGACATTTCAAAATTAATTAAAAATGGATGAGGTTTATATAAACAACAGTACAGGGTAGCAATGGCTAATTGCTCAAAACTGTGGTCACATGTCAGCCGAAGCATACAAGCATTGGATGCTGTGGAGAATTTAATTAAAGTTTTATTGAGGACACCAGGGGAGAATCGATGGAATTCAACTTATGACTTATGTCAACTTTTAGAGCCAAGGGTAAAAGAAATCATGGATGACTTTTTCCAATGTACTTTTTGATGAAAAACTTTATGTATAGTAAATAAAAATAGATCTTCTTTAGAGTAGCGATGTAAATTTTCCGGTAAAATTTGATTTAAAATTTTTCCGTAAATTTTCAAGTAAATAAGGAGCACAATAAATTTTACTTATTCTATAAATGGCCGGTCCTCACATAACAAAATCAACATAACAAAAATTATTTCAGTTTAGCTGTGAAGCCTCATTCTGAGAAGCCTCATTAAACCTATTTGTCTAACTAAACAGCATAAGTTTATTATTTATTCTGACTACAAAGTTTTTCATCTAAAAGTACATTGGAAAAAGTCGGGGCTCACCAGCCACAAAGAATAAATTTTTTTGTTTATGCAACACAATGATCGCAACAAGTGACCAACGGAGCCGTCCAGTTTCGTAGACCTGAGAGATGTGATAATAAAAACAGTTAGAAGATGGTGTCATTGAATAAAAATTGAAACTGCATTTTTTCAATCTAGTGGAGTTGGAGGTATTGGAAGAATACAAGCAGTATATGAAACCTATTGCTAATGCTCTGGACAAACTGCAAGAAAATAAATTTTTATGCCAATATTCAGCAAGGTCGAAAGACACTTAAAGTGCTTATTTCAAAAGTTATCCACAGTGGAAGTTTAATTGAGGGATTGATTTCAAACATAGATCAGTGTTTTCCACATTTTTTTTGTTTACAATAGCTCATCCAGAATCTATTCAATTGCAGCTGCATCTCATCCTCATTTGAAACTGTGAAGGGTTCCATAGGAAAAGAGAGACTGGGCTAAAAAAGTCTTCATAGAAGAGACAAAAAAAATCAGTTTAGCTGAAAGTTCTGCAGATGCTGACAAAGCATCAACATTAGAAACTGATGATTTTTTTAAATTTGAATCACTAAAAACAAACTTCATACAAGCTAGTCAGTCAGCAGTCACTATTGAGTGTTTACAATACCTTGAAGATGGTTTACACATCTTTATTAGCATGTTTGGAACAATATTTAGTTGTTACAAAACTTTTCAGAGATGTTAATGCAACTGTTCCATCGTTTGCTTCAGTTGAACGCCTATTTTATTAAAGGAGCCTGTTTTTAATTTATAAATAAAAAAGTATTTTGTATTTTAAATACTTTTATATTAAGTATTTTGTATTATATATTTAATATCTTCACTTGAGTGTATTTTGTATTTGTATTTCAATTACTTTTTTGATCCAGTATTCATGTTTGTATTTTAATCAACACTGTGTGTATATATATATATATATATATATATATATATATATATATATATATATATATATATATATATATATATATATATATATATATATATATATATATTTATAAAAAGTTTTTATTGTTACTACTTACTGCCAGAAAATTAGTGTAAATATCAACAAACGCTCCAACACCAGCCACTATTGTTGAAAGAGTAAGACAAGCATAAACATTTTTTAAATGCTTCTTTGCGTGGCTATCACTATAAAAAAAAAAGTCTGTTTTTCATCAACAACAAATTTGAAAACTAAACAAAAGTTAATACACAAAGAACTCAAAAGCTGATGCATAGAATTCTTAAAACCTAATATTTATATGCAGTAATTAATACGATATCGATGCAATGGTAAAAGCATTTATTAATAAAATAAATTCTTATTAAAATAAAAATCTTCACTTATTTTCCTGAACTTTACTAATTTAAAGTTTAAGATCTATTTCCTTTCCTCTCAAACAAATTAAAAATAATCAGAAAACTGAATATTGCAGTTAAAAGAATTATATTTAACTTACAGATTAGAAAAGTCAGTTAATGCTTTCAATGAAATAGGTCTTTGGCCAAAAAGTGCGTCCATTTTTTTTTTCGCTATTCAGGCAAATTGCTTTATTTTTATAAATCTCGGTAAATAATATATTTTGTATTTCCGCTGACCAAGAATAATAAATTTAGTTACATCAGCTTTGCAAACATCTTTCAGTTTACAAACGTGTAATTTTCTAGTTGGACTGTCTGCAAACTTCGGTCCGCTATCACTAATATTTTTCCTTGCAATTATGGATTGTTATTAATTAAAATATTATAAGTTTTGAACTGAAATGTGCTATTTTTTTTTTACCTCTTTCAGTCTTTTTGCAAACGTCTTTAGATTTGGATTGCGATTGTCCGAGTTTTTCAGTAGGAGATCGCAATCAAAATTCCTAGTGGGCACAAGACTTATAAAGACGTCTAAAACACATATTAAAACGTATTAATACATATTTTAGACGTCTAAAAATAGTATTGTGCCTACATGGTTTTAGTTTTAATTAGTTTAGCGCTGCGCTCTCCTTTGTAAAAACTGAAACAGCGATTAAATATGTCATCAGTTATTATGAAAATATTAATATAATTTTTTTTGTTTTAAAAATTTTCATATGCGTTCTCAAAAATTTCATATACGCTCTCAAATTTTTTTATCAGTTTGAGTTTAGAGAAGCTTTGCTCACCGCTTGCCACAGAAACTAGAAGTGGCAAGAGGATTCTTAGACCTACAACAGTTTTGTGACACTTCTTTTTTAATTTAGTATTTTTTCATATATAAAACTTAGTAAATTCAGTAGCAATGAACACCTTGCAACTCATCTTGAAATTGATTTCAGTTCACTAAATAAATCAACTGCACCGGTATCTTTGGAGTCTCCATGTTGCAAAGCTTTCTCAAGATTCAAGCAATGTTTCATAACTTTCTTGCTAGTAAACTGTGAATTTCATAGAGAAAACCCAACAATGAATATATTTTTTGCATTAGAGTGAATCTTTCATTATTTAACTGTATTGCTGTGTAAAGAATAGCAAAGTAAAAGTTAGTTTTAAAATTATTTTTTTTTGGATTTTAAATTGGTTTGTCATCTCCTTCGTATGTAAATTGTTTATTTTTTCTTTTGATACGGGTTGTTCGGGTTCAAAAAGTGCATGCATTTCTGAACTGACTGCGTCAACTAGTGTTTTCTTAAACTCCATTTCATTTTTACGAGAAAATTTTTTGTTTTTTCAAGATAATATATGGTGTCATACATATCTAATTTTTTCTGCCTGAACTTGCTCAGAAGTCATGTTGATCTCAAACAACACGTCACACTACACAACCAGAGAAACGACAAACTTAAAACTAGAAATAAAAGTTGCAATAAACCGTGCATTTAAACGTGTTGAATCACCAGATGCTCTTCCCAGCAACGAATTGATGCAGAAAAGAATACATATACACGTTGCATCAAATCAAAGAAGGGTGTTATTTCTAAGCAACATTTAACAGCATCATTAAGTGAAAAATTCAAGGTATGTGCACAGCAAGGAATAAACAATACTCGGTGATTGACATCTAAAATTCTTCGTTGGACACCCTTAATTTTTCCCTTCATATTTCTATCATTGTCATATCCTTGAACTCGTAAGTTCACAATAGATAAAGACATCTCGCCTAACTGCCACATAATAGTTTCAGCCATACCAGCACCAGTTATCTCCTATAGAGGCACAAAATCTAAAAAATTTTCAATTATAGACGCTGTTGCTGCAATGTTATTTTCTGGATTTGAAATCACATCCACAAAGCAAATGGTTATAGTCAATTGGTTCAAAACGACCAGCATCAGGTGTGCAATTTATATTTATTGAAAAGTACTCAGCACCCCAAACATATGTTAAAACGTTTTGTTTGATTACATTAGATAAAAGATGTATCAATTCATTTTGTATGTCTTTGCCTTGGTAATGTACACGTGTTTCATTGTTTTTAATTTTTCGAAGATACGCATTTATAAGTGGGTCAAACAAAGCAAATAATTCTACAAGTTTCTGAAAGTTTTTGTTATCAATAGTGTTTAGTTTCTCGTGTGTTCCACGAAAATCAAGAACTCTAACTTAAACTATCAGCCATTGCAAGATTTGCTGCCAATACTGTTCTTCTTTTTTAACAAAACGCAAATGTTTGGGATCGTGGATGCCAAAATAATTGACTCTTACTATGATTAAAAATTTACTAGCTTTCCTCAGAAAAAAGTGCGGACATGTTTTTCCAATCATGTAAACCATTAGAAGAAAGAGATCACGCATGTTATGCTACTAATAAACAGCTTGCAGCAGAAGCAATACACAGAGTCATTACATACAGAATACTACAACCAATGTCAGTAAACTTAATCTCAATTGACAAGCCAGCGGTTGTAATGGTTTTTAGAAAAAAAATATTTTGCATACTGTCCTTAGGAAATTCAAAATGATCAACTTGTTTTGGTCCATATTCTGTCAAAAGTTGTCGCATTTCATCATCAAATACGACCTAAGTAGTCGAATTGCCATAATTAACATATAGACCAGAGAATTTATCAAATTCATGCACTTTAAATTCTTTGCGTGTAATGTGTATTACATTATGAAATTCAAACTTTTCTGATACTGTCATCTCATCGGCTTCACTGTCTACTTCAATTTAATTGCTTAACTCATCTGTGTCATTTTCATTTCTCTGCGGTGAACATAAATACTTTAACAACGAACTGGCTTGTTTTGCTTGATCTGCCATCAGCTTATCATACTTAGATAATCTCAAGTTGACAAGAACTTTATTTTTGACGAAGTGAGCTAAAAAAAAATTAGTGGACGTACCATCTGGAAATTTTCTTTTAAAAATTGTTGAACATAGACTTGTCTTGATCGATTGTCAAAATCAATCACACCGTATATTAAAATATTTAAAAAACCAAAACTTGAATTGGTTCTAATAAAATTATCTAAGAATTTAAATTTAATGAAATCATTAACAATTAACTTCTTGATGACAACTTATTTTATTACTTTTATGATTCCAATAAACTGATGCATTTTGTAAACTGTGAAAAAAAAATATTTTCCTGCTATCATAAAAATTTTGACAATAATGGAGCAATAGTAAATGTTATAATAAAATCTTCACCTATTGAAAATGGCTTTTGAAATAAAATGAACTTTTTTAAATGTTGGATAAAACAGTTGAAAATAATATATAATAAAATGTTCAATTAGTTTATTACTGGTTATAACTTTTAAAAACAAATGCCCGTATGGGAGCTTTTCTAAACGAAACATATTTTATTTCCCTTTGACTGTTAATCTCAAAAACTTTAATAAGTTTAATCAAGTTGTTTTTTAGTTAATTACATTGTTATTATTTTTAGTTAATTAAATTACATTGTTATTATTTTTAGTAATTAAATTAGTACATTGTTAAAAATTTCCGTACTTTTGCGCAAATTTGTTTAACAGTGTAAGTTGTTTAATTAAGTTATTTATTAATTTTAATTAAAATGTTTGTTTTTGCGGTACGTTTTATAAAATTGTTTATAAAATAAATATAATGATAAACAATTAGTTATGTGGTTATCAATACATAAGTTGTTTGAATAAAAGATTGGAATTACAGATTTCTACACCTGCATTCTATAACTTTTGTTTTTATACGATTCCTAAATCAGGATAAATTTTTTTATTATTATCAGAAATACAAATAGGAAAGAGGGACATTTTTTGAAATTAACTAGTCGCACCAACCTCTTACATTATAAAAGTGTTATGCATACTTATTTATAAAATAAGTATGCATAATAGAAAATATTGATTCATTCTCTGCAGCATTTGTTTATCACTTCCATGTCGTCTATGCTAAAAACAAAATGCTCTGTTTAATATTTGTTGAAGACATGTTACACATGTCTTCAACAAATTTTTGTTTGGGGAATAGCCAATAAAAGGTTTTATCCGATAACAACCATGAGGTTAATAAGCACATCATCATCATCATCATCATCATCATCATCATCATCATCATCATCATCATCATCATCATCATCATCATCATCATCATCATCATCATCATCATCATCATCATCATCACCATCATCATCATCATCATCATCATCATCATCATCTTCATCATCATCATCATCATCATCATCATCATCATCATCATCATCATCATCATCATCATCATCATCATTAGACGAATTTCTGCATAGAAACTCTACATTTTTACGGAAGATTCCTATTTCACAACGGTTGACGATAATGTTATAGTTTTTGCATCAACAGTTCAGAAATTTTTTAGATTACATTCTTAGCATCAAAATAAATTAAAAAAAAAAGAATTTTTTAAAGATAGCGCACAAAATGTGATGTTTGTGTCGTATTTTTATATTTGTCGTTATCAAGTTTAAATTTGCTGTGAATCAGTTTAATTTTTAATTAAGTATGTGGCTAGCACTAATCTTAAAAAACTAGTAAAGTAATTTACTCGTTTCACTAAGGGTGTGTTTCCACTCATCCGTTTTTTCACGGGAACGGGATAGGGAAGGAAAAAATAATCACGTGAGCATGCGTAGTTTTTCTTTGGACATATTAAAACTTATACTACGCATGCCCACGTGATTATTTTTCTCGTCCCTTTCCCGTTCCCGTGAAAAAACGGATGAGTGGAAACTTGCCTTAACACAAAAATCCGCTGTTTTTGAAAAAAGGGAAAAAATATTTGGCACTTTTTTTACTGTGTATTTGTAACTATTTTGACTAGAAAATGTTTTGTTGCGAAAACAACTCCGTTTTAAGTTAATGAAAAAGTTTACACAGTTTTGCAAAATAAATTCCAAATGTTTTATTATGTGAAACATATTTTTTCCAAAATATTTTTGTGTCTTCTTTAATGCAATGATTTTATTTTTTTAATTCATCTCATGAGGGTTTTCAATGCGGCGTTGATTAAATTTAGGTAGTTGATTAAATTTATAAGTGACTTTCTTTTCTAACTTTTTGTACTTTAGTGTAATAATCAAATTCATATACGTATAATTACATATAATAGTCAATTTTATTCGTCAGTAAAATAGTCCAAATTTGTATAATAGGCAATTTACAAAAGAGAAATTTCTGAAAAAAAGTCCCA